TGTGCCGTTGTTTCCTTCCGTGATATTTTTTTCCTGTATTCCTCCTCCCCTGTGCTTTCAATCAGCGTAACCTTGAAGACGGCAAGTGGTGTCGTCATTTCTATATATTTTCTTGGTTTTATATATGCGGTTGACGCAAAGTCGACCCTGTGTTTTCTTACCGGTTTTTTTCGCTGCTGTCTTCCTCCTCCCCTGTACCCACAATCAGCGTAACCTTGAAGACGGCAAGTGCTGTCGTCATTTCTATATATTTTCTTGGTTTTATATATGCGGTTGACGCAAAGTCGNCGCGCCGGGATAGAAACGGAGGGTGACGCGCAGGTGATCAATGATGATGAGCTGGGGGTTTGCAACGCCAGTGAAGCAGACGACGCCGAGGATGGTGGAGAAACAACGAATGAAGGCCCCACACGAAGCCAAACGTATCCACTGCGATCGCGCAGACATCGAGCCAGCCGGGGCGGCGCACCCATCTTCTATGCGTTGCCTGAGGATGATGGCGGAGAGATATGAATTGCCAATTAGTTTGTTCCAATTTCCATTTTTTTTTTTTATTTTCTGAATCAGGCCGACACAAAGTTGTGCCGTTGTTTCCTTCCGTGATATTTTTTTCCTGTATTCCTCCTCCCCTGTGCTTTCAATCAGCGTAACCTTGAAGACGGCAAGTGGTGTCGTCATTTCTATATATTTTCTTGGTTTTATATATGCGGTTGACGCAAAGTCGACCCTGTGTTTTCTTACCGGTTTTTTTCGCTGCTGTCTTCCTCCTCCCCTGTACCCACAATCAGCGTAACCTTGAAGACGGCAAGTGCTGTCGTCATTTCTATATATTTTCTTGGTTTTATATATGCGGTTGACGCAAAGTCGGCCCTGTGTTTTCTTACCGGTTATTTTCGCTGCTGTCTTCCTCCTCCCCTGTACCCACAATCAGCGTAACCTTGAAGACGGCAAGTGCTGTCGTCATTTCTATATATTTTCTTGGTTTTATATATGCGGTTGACGCAAAGTCGGCCCTGTGTTTTCTTACCGGTTATTTTCGCTGCTGTCTTCCTCCTCCCCTGTACCCACAATCAGCGTAACCTTGAAGACGGCAAGTGCTGTCGTCATTTCTATATATTTTCTTGGTTTTATATATGCGGTTGACGCAAAGTCGACCCTGTGTTTTCTTACCGGTTATTTTCGCTGCTGTCTTC